TAGACAAGCAGCCCACATTCTCTTTCAGATAACTCTAATTACTTTGTAGACAAGATTTATAACACTTACTTGAAAGACTAGAAATGTGAGATACATACATTTTCCAGTAGGAACTTCAGAATAAGCTTGGAAGGGGCTTCTTTCTCCAACAGATGAGGAAAGTTAGCTGCTGGAGTGGAATGCCTCTTGCTCCAATTTTAGAGAGAAAATCATTACAGACAATGTATTTTGGACCAAGAATACTAGATAATAAGAGAATCTCTCTGTAAATGCCAGAGGAGACTGGGACTGTTCTTCATTTTGTTTCTGTTCAAAGTATTTATTTGCCCACCCAAAAAGATTCCCAAAGTATAGCTTATTGAGATTATTTTTAAAAGATAAATATTTAAAAGAACACAACATACTCAACATATTTTTAGAAAATGTTGATATTAGCAGCATCAGCTAGTTGTTTATTTTATACAATTTTGAAACAAAGACTAATGCAGATAAATCCTACAAACTCTAACTTGATACTGATTCAGAACGTGAGAGTTGATGCTTTCTCTTTAAAAAGTATATACATTATGTATGTTATATACATTTTATAGACATACTTAGAGTTATGCTTTCTCTTTAAAAGTATATTTATATAATATACATAGAAAATATGTATCATATGTGCACATATGTGTACATTTTCATATATATGAAACACATGTCCTCTGTTGGAAGTAAAATACATATAGCTCGCACCAACAAAGGACATTTTTTTGCACAACACTGAAATGTAACTAATGAAGTCTGGAATTATCAATCACAGTATGTCCCTACATAATATCAATTACATGTGTAATGGACATTTTATAGTTCTTCTATTCCCAATGAAATGCAATATATCATCTAATTTGTATCTTTCTTTTTTCTCATCAAAGATGTTCTTTGGGAAGAAAATAAAAGCAGGCCGTGACATATGGGAACTGGTCTGATACTTACAGCTAGGTCTCAGTATTGGCAGGAGTTGGCCTGGCTCTCACAGCCAGGGCTTGATGTTCTCCTCTTGGACCAAAACATCCTCAGGGAATACCATCATGAGACAAGGTAACTTTGTGGCTGTGAAGAAACGATACGAAAAATGAGACCATTCATAATTCTGCCTAAGCACAAGACAAAAACAAGGTCACTGTAAAACCACAGAAATACCAAACATCTCACACTCCTCACTAATTTAAGTGATTGCTTCTGCTTCACCAATTGCAGTTTTATTTTCCTTCTAGTCTTTCCTCTTTCTGGAAAAGATTTATTAAGGTGTTCAATAATAGAATTGTCTCCATTTCCTGATAGCATCCAATCCAAAGTGGCAAACCCCCATTTCCTTGAACTCTCCCCAAACCACCCAAACAAAGCACAAATTTTCTAAATCCTAATACCCTCTTACTAAAAGACTCCACAGTACCCCATGATGTGTAGTCTCCTTTGTGGCAATGAATAAGAAACCCAACTTGTTCAAGTGCAGGTGAAATCCTGGTGTCTTTGGTAGGAGGCATTAACATGTTAAAACTTTACCAGAATATTATGTATTGTATGATTTGATTTATAGTACAAAGATGCATATAGGTTTATAAATATACAATTATGTATGTCATCATATATAATACATACCTATTTGTATTGTAAATGCACACTTTTTGTCATTTTTGGACTAGGATAATTAAAAAGTGGCTAACAGTATCCACTCTTAATGAGTGAAGACATATTGGTATATTTGAAGGAGGGCCTTCACTTTTGACTCTACTTTTATAAATCTTATTTTTATTTTTTGAGACAGGGTCTCAGTCTGTTACCCAGGCTAAAGTGCAGTGGCATGATCAGAGCTCACTGCAGACTCAACATCCCAAGCTCAAGTGATCCTCCCACCTCAGCTTCTTGACTACCTGGGACTACAGGAGTGTGCCACCATGCCCTGCTAATTTTTTTTTAAAAAATTTCTTTAGAGATGGGGTCTCACTATGTTGCCCTGGTTGGTCTCAAATTCCAGGACTCAAATAATCCTTCTACCTCGGCCTCCTGAAGTGCTGAGATTATAGGTGTGAGGCACCACACTTGACCTCAACTTCTTTTTTTTTCTTTCTTTTTTTTTTGAGACAGAGTCTCACTCTGTTGCCCAGACTAGAGTGCAGTGGTATGATCTCAGCTCACTGCAGCCTATGCCTCCCAGGTTCAAGTGATTCTCCTGCCTCAGCTTTTTGAGTAACTGGAAGCACGGGCACCCACCACCGCACCTGGCTACTGTTTGTATTTTTAGTAGAGCTGGGGTTTCACTATGTTGGCCAGGCTGGTCTCAAACTCCTGACTTCAAATGATCCACCTGCCTCAGCCTCCCAAATTGCTGGGATTACAGGCGTGAGCCACTGCACCAGGCCTGAAATCAATTTTTTTTACTCAATTAGTTTTTTGCATTCCCAGAGTAAAGGAAATAATTTGTAAAATTAAAGAAAATAATAAAGTAAAATATAATTTACATTTCCAGAGCTCGTAACAGGAATTATTTGGCTGCTAGTGTTAGAGATATGCCTGTCTATCTTGGTGAAACAAATGAAGGGCTTATCATCTTAATGTGCAGGAAGCCCATAGGTAAGAGCTGAAATAGGCAGAATTCTAAGATGTTCTCCAACAGTCTCACTTCCTGTTATACATACGTTATTTGAGTGTGGACAGGACCTGTGATATGATAGGATGTCACTCTAATGATTAGGTTACGTTACATGGCAAAAGTGAAAGGATTTTGCAGAGGTGATTAAGGTCCCAACTCAGTTAATGTTGAGTAAAAAAAAAGGGAGATTATCCTGAGTTACCCGACTTCATCAGATGAAATCCCTTAAAAGAGGAGAGACATTCTTGAAGAGAGAAAGATTCTACCATTGGCCCTAAAGATGCTATTAGCCATGTTATGAACTATGGAGATCAAGGTCCTAAACTAGTTGCTGACAAGTAGTCTCTGACCAACAGCCAAGAAGAAAATGAAATGGAGACCTCAGTCACACAACTGCAAAGAAATGAATTCTTCCAACAATCTGAGTGATTTCAGAAGCTGACTCTTTGCCTAGTCAAGCCTCCAGATGAGAATGCTGCGTGGCTGACACCTTGATGACAGCCTTGTTAAACCTTAGGCAAAGGCACTGGTCAAGCCATGCTCAGACTTCTGACCCAAAGAAACTGAGATAATAAATGGATGTTGTTTTAAGCTACTAAAGTTGAGGTAACTTGCTATACAGCAATAGATAATTCCACAGTTCAGAGACAATATGATGGTTTTTGAAAATAGTGGTCCAGGCAACACCCATTGCATCTGACTTCCATCCTCAGTGTAAACCCAAACTGAAAAGAGGGTGATGGAATTCCAGCTACAATTCCCAGGTTCTAGTCAAGAAGAAGGGGAAGAAAAAGGTGTCAGAGAAGTTTGTGTCTGCCAGTTGTCTGTCCCCTTTGTAAATAGTTTTCCCAGAAGACTCATAGGCAATCTCTACTAATTGGCCACTCCTACCTACAAGAGAGGCTAGAAAACGAAGTATTTTAGCTGGGAATATAGCCAATGGGTAAACAAACACAAACCTCAGGATTATAGTAGAAAGGAAGAAAGAAGGCAAGAGGACAAGGACATCTTGTAAACAAATAGCAATCTCTTCCTTAGAGAGGAAAAAATAGGGAAAAATTTTCCTCATATCAATCTTTTAATGTCATTTTTTGGTTTTAAAAATTTCTAATAAGAAAACATTTTCAAAGCAGAATGCTTCTAGCAAACGTAGAGCTATGTTAAAAGACATGTCAGCTGCGTGCTTCTAATCAGAGTATAAAGGATCCTTGTCAATACTAATGCTCTTAATCTAGCTCCATCTCTTCTCCCCTAAATGCTTCAGGCCCATCCCTGTCCTTAATGAAGCTATTTGCTCCCTCACTAGGTACATGTCCTGCCCTGTGGAAAGACTCACAAATATGATCCACAAAGAAACTGACTGACCTTTGCCCTGATCAGTGATGTTTAAACCCCAAATCCAAAACATGAAAAGAAATAAATATTTGTATTTAAACATCACAATTAAATCATTTCCCTTCCCCCTTCCCTCTGCCTCATGGAAAAGTCTGTCTGTGGCTGACTGATTTACAACAGAGCCAGTATGATGACTTGAAAATCAGAGAATGAAGTCAGCTCACAGCAAATTAAGTTCATGAGGAAAAAGGAGTGGGATAGGGACATGCTGGAGCCTCATCCACAAGGGTCAGAAAGAGAAGGTGGTGAACCTGTCTGGAAAGCCTTGGGGTGCAGCCAAGTGTCAGAGGGAGTGCCTAGCGGGTATGAAGAACTCAGATATGTATCAGGCTGACTCCAGGACCTTGTGGGCAAAGAGAACAGGGTACCCAGGAAGTGGTGTGTTTGTTCAGGTGAGTATTTGGGTGAACCAGCTGTTGATGTCTGAGGAAGTTCAGCCAAAGGCAGGAGGAGCCCAACTATTTGGCTAGGGGACCATTTAATAATTCACCAAAAATTTGTAGAGACAGTAATTTACAGTAATGGCCCAGATATGGACTTTCTCCTCAAAAACTTTTTTTTTCTTTTGAGTCTTGGAAGATGGTGGTAAACCCTATATGGAAACAAATTAGAAAGTGATGTGTTAAAAAATAATTACTCGAAGTGCTAGGAATTATAGAATTAATTTGACTTTGGGGGAAGTAAAATATTAGAGATGTCTTCTGGAAAGCCTATCTTGGGATCCGAAATAGTAGTATTACAAAAAGGGAAAGTGCATAAAATTGTAGTATTAGGCAATAGAAAATTCAGATTGGTGTTCCTGAGTAACCACTGACCAAACACCAATTAGGTTAAGCTAAACTCCTTTTATTCTCCCTTCCAGTATCTTCTTTCACTAAATATAATGCTGCCTATTTGGCCGTTCCCCAACACTTTATTGTAAAAATTATGTAATAATAATACTAATTACAATAAAGAGGACAATACAATGCAGTTTCTTTTCTATTTTAATAGCTTTATTGACATTGATATATAATAAACTGCCCATATTTACAATATGTAATTTGGTAAGCTTTGTTATATGCATACTCCTGTTAAACTATCACCACAATCAAAATAAGGAATATATCGCTTGAAAAAATTTCTTCCAGTCCCTTTTTAATCTCTACCTTTCATATTTACCCTTCACCTACTCCATCCCAAAGCCACCACTGATCTGATGTCTGTCACGATCAGTTTGTCACACATTAATTTGTATATCCTAGAGTTTCGGGTAAGTGGAAGTATAGTGTGTCCATTTTTTGTTCTGGCTTCTTTTACTCAGCATATTATTTTGAAACTCACCCATATTAAAGTATATATCAATAGTTCTTTCCTTTTAATTGCCGAGTAGTATTGCATCATGTTATCACTTATTTTTAGGTCTATCATCTTTTGTTTCCTTTTCAACTTCTTCTTTCTTATTGACATGCTTATTATAGAAGTCTTCATAATGGTGCAAATGGGCAAAGTATCAGAAAAAAACAGCTACAGACAGCTTTGGCATTAGAGTTAAAAACCAACCAACGAAAATATCCAAAACCTCCTGAAAACTACAGTCTTCATGATTGTCAAAGTAGTAAATCTTTCTTAGAGTTATCTGAGGTACTTTGACAGATATAGAGGGGCTACTATTTCAGTCTGGGTGGCCTTGCCTAGATCCCTCTAAACTGCACAATTCAGTGGTGCCTATTCAGTCTTCCAAAGACTGTCATGTGACATATTTTGCTTATGCAAATGATCTCAATGAGGGGAGATTATGAAATGAGGCAAAATGTTAAAACTAGAAAGACAAGGGGGAATATATTAAAAGTAAGGTCCTGCAAAGCCACAGGCTAATAGCTACCAATAATATTTTTAAAACAGTATTACCCCAAAGTGAATGTCATGAGCACTGATGGGGAATGCAATTTTAATGACATGTGTTTTCAGGAGTATTTCTACTGTTGAAACACACATTCTTTAAAAAAAACAAAAACAGTGAAAAATCCTTAGGTGTTCTCCAACTGCCATGGGAAACACTCAGCAGCTGCTTCTTTCAGCCTAGCAAAGATCAACCTGACCTTGGCCAACCAGCTTGTACTTTGAAGAGTGTATTTTGTGAAACTTGTGAGTAGAGAATAATTCATGCTTGGCAGAATTTGTTGTCTCTTTTGCTCAGTATCTTACCATGATTAATCCCCAATCCATCTTTCTCTGCTGCTGCTGCTGTTGCTGCTGTCAGTCTCATATTTCTTCTCCATAACAGACGCTGTTCAAATGTTGCTGGATTGTGGCTGGGTGTGACCTTTTATGGGGCACTGCTGCCTCCTATCAGGCTTTTATGGGCATGTTGGTTTATGCACATGTGCAGGCATTCTGACCTTGTGACCTCCAGAATAGATTCTAAGAGAAGAACTGTATCTAACTTTTCTCACATTTTGGGCACCCAAACTCTTCCCAAGTGCATAGGTGCAAAGAATACTCCCTTGTGGTTTGGATTTACATTCTTCTCACATCAGAAGAACTCATCTAGGAGAATGTGAAGCCAGGTCAGAATTGCTAACATAACAACAGTGTTGCTGGCAGCCTTTCAAGTTGTTTTGCATAAATTTGAGCATGAGGCAGTGTTTTCACAACATCTTTCCCTTTTTATTGTGGTTTGAGTAGTGCAAATATTTGAGTTATACTTTTTGATATAACCAAGTCTGCAGAAAGGGCAACAGCTAACAAAACTCTGGAAAACTTTAAAGCCATTTTTAAAAATTCCTTCTCAGATCTGGTCTTTTTTCCTTTCTGAATCCTGAATCTTATCATTAGATAAACCTAACTAATTAAAAAGAGAAATCCATATTATGATATTTCTAGTACTTTCAGTTTGTATTTTCTGTGCTGACAGTTTACTGCTAGTGAGTAGTTTACAAAGGTGAACATTCTAATATGACTAAAGATGCAACAAAAGTTTTTAAAATTATTGCCAAATAAGCTGCTTTTCTGCCATAAATAAAACCCTAAAATCAGATTTTAAAGTTTTAAATGCCAAGTTCAAATAATTATGAATCTACTGTTCCCTACTTCCACCCATTTCCTGTTTCCGATCTGGGTTTTGCCCTTGACTGCCTATTCTATCAGGATGAAATGGGGCACCATACCCCATTTCTTTTTGTTCCTCTTGACATTTACCCGGTATGTTCTTTTCCTAAATAAGCCTTCTCTTTCTGTTTTCATAATTGAATACTTTTCTCATCTTAGTCAAGCACCTACTATCACTCTTTGTTCTGATGGCTGATAAAGTCACCCACACTCAATTCTTTCTCCAATACTATACTCAAAAGTGTGATTTTTTTTTCTATCCACTTATATTTTTCTGCTTTGAGAGCTCTACTCATGTTTCTTCCTCATTGACGGCATAACCCAAAAGAAAATGTTTACCCTCACATGGCATATCCAAGTGACATCAGATCTGCTATGGCTCAGGTACAGGACAATGAGGAGACACATCACGTGACATTATGGACAGCTATACTAACACTTCAGAATTGGAAGAAGCACATCATCAAGACCTAAAGACTATGATTTATACATTTTTATACATTGTATGAGAATCCAAAGTCAGTGAAACTATATAGAGTGGTTCTCATTATCACCAATGGTTTGTGCAGCTTATAAAATGAAGAGTATAGAGTAAATCCAAAGACTGGGCCAAGAAGATAAAATAGCACATTGTGACACATTCTGAAGTGAGACATACAATAATTTGGGTCCTGATATTTAAGTGCAAGTCAGAAAGATTCTATTTATGGATAATGACATAGTTTCTAATTTACTATTTCTATTAAAGATGCAGGGATCTTCCTGGGCTAGTACATGTATCTGGAAAGAAGAGGGAGATTCTTAAAATATAGCATAGCATTAATTTAGCAATATTCAAGTGATGGCACATATCACATGACAGTACAATGCATTTATAACTAGACTGAACTCTCCAATAACAGAGTGACAGCTACATATTTGTTACACATATATGAATCCTATTATTACTATATTTTGGTAATAGATCCTTAAATAGACATTATAGAAAGTAAAGCAGTTTGTTATACTTGCTTTTACTTTTTATTATAAATTAGGTGATAAAATGATCTACTTAATTTCAATATGTTAATATTCACATTTAAAGATTACCACAACATTGTTAAGCTACAAAAGTTCAATCATAGTTATTCCTTACACATTACCTAGGACTTATTCAGGTTTTATTTCCTGCTGAAATGGTGTGACTTAAGATTTCAGAATAAGTGGTAAAATGCACATTCAAATGCACAACTTTAAGATGTGTATTTTGTGTACACAAAGTTACAAAAACTAAGAGTATTTCACATTATCCTTAACCCAAAACAACCTACTTATGCACCATCTTGGTTGATAGAATTTTAGTTCATGAAGTTTCAGATTTTGTTCTCTTGATAAAAGCACCCTCGAATATCATTTTAAAGTCTGACAATTATTTTCTTGTAAAGAGGGTGTTATATGTATCAAAAATAGAACTTCAAGTTTTTTATAGAATTATCTTGTAATGTTAAACGGTGGCATCATTAGCATATAATTATAACATATATAATTATACATAAATGATATGCTATACACTTTCGACATCTTTTATGTATATGAGTGTCAGGTACAGACTACCTATTAACAAAGCCAGGTAAAATTAAAATAGACCTATTATCATTATTACCTTTTTATCTTACGATTTATTCTTCATTTTTGGACCGAATTTTGTACAATGGAAGCATACCAGAAATAAGACAACAATAGACGGCTAAGAAGAGGCAACAAGATAATTGTTCCATCTTGCCTGGTGAACTCTTAAATCAACAAAGGAGCCCGCCCCTCTGGCTAATCACCCAGTGTGTGTTCTGTGCCTAACAAGAGAGCACAGAAGTACATCTTTGCTGCGGGAGTTCTCTCGTTTTCTAATTCAAGCATTTGCAACACAAAGTGAATAAACCTGAAAAATGCCAAATAAGAATTTGGTTATCTATATTTTGGGGTGCCATTTAGAACTAAGCTAGTCATGAAAATACTCTGTACCAACAACTGCAGTTATTATTTCTGCACGCTGCCAGCAAGCAAGGCAGACAGATGCAAAGGAAACGTCCTTATAATTTTCTGAAATGTAGACACTAAGCACAAATTGAACTTCTGGCAGATGACAGAAAAGGTGACTTGACAATGAGTTTGAAACAATTGAAGTGATACTCTGATTCATTCATTTCCACAATTTTATTTATTTCACGGAAAGCCCAGAGGATTGGAACATGGACTTAAAGGAGGACAACCTAAGAATACAAGTTTAGTCTTCCAAAAGGTTGCCTTGAGGAGCAGGCTGCCGGAGGCTGCGCTTTCTTTTTCACTTTTTGCATCCAGGAGGCTGAAGGGTCTTGCAGCCTACGGCCTCCCCGCAACTCCCATGAGGCAGGGACACGCCTGCCCCTTGTTTAGTAATCACTGGTTTTCTGATCACTATCCTCTAGCCAACGTTTGGATTCACATTTTCTTTGGCGTCCCTTTGGGTAACCGAGGCCATTGGGGCCTTGGTCCTGAATCCCAAACGGAGGGTAACAAGCGATTCACAGTAAGGAACTAAGTGTAGCTCCCGGGAGCTGTGCTCGCCATCCAGGAGCTGAAAGAGACCTGTCGGATGATTTTCTTCTTTCCTCTGGCAGGAGTCAGGACAAGGGGCGTAGATTCGGCTCAATTTTTCTGCTTCGGTCAATGGGATGATGAAATAGAAAAAAAAAAAAAAATGCCCTTTCATTCAGACCACAGAGACTTAGGGGGCTGTCCAGCTAGAAGGTAGGGAAACTGCAAAACGGCAGGGCAGGGGCCCACGGGGACGGTTGGGGTCTCTTTGTTCAGTGCTTCTCTCATCCCTGAACTCAAGCTAGGCTAAATTTCTAGCGACGAGTGTGCTTGAATGAAGACAGGTGGGGTTCTTGGAAAGAACACATAGGCAGAGCTTCTGAGCCCCCGAAGTATCTTAAGATAGGAGTTCCTGAGCCCTGAACAAGAGGCTACCTGGGTAGAGCGATTGATCTCCGCGCCGTGCGGCTGGGAAGGGAAGGCGCTGTTGACCTTTCGGAGAGCAAGTTAATAACTCAGTCGAGTTGATCAAGTGACGTTCTTTCTGAAAGGGATCGTCTCCTGGGCCCCTTTTTTCTCCTCAGTTGGCATTTAGCAGATAGAGAGGCAGGGCAAATTCTTCTCTCAACATGAAGTCACAAAGAATTGATGAGTTTAAATAGCATGGATCTGAAGTCATAGATACATCTAAACACACCCTCGCTGGAGTTCACACGCTGGTTCACCTAAGTGGAGTCGGAACAGACAGCGACCTTCAAAACTGTCCTTAAAATCATTCTCAAACGTACTGGGCATTTACTGGGATTTGGGGGGTTTTCTTCAGCTTTCAAACTACTATTACACGCAGAATATACTGTTAAATGCCACCAATGACTGCCCACCTCCCTTTAAAAGTAGCCCCCATCCATACACCATTCAGTTTACACTAAAGTGTCCCGACGTGCCTTAGCCGTCAGTTTAATTCATAAAGTAGCTGTAACTCTTGACATCACCTCCGCAGCCCACCCGAGGACTCCTTTCCAGGACACCTTAGGAGGCTGTTATTCAAGCGCTGAATTTTGAGACTTATAGGAAGGTTACTTGAGGCATCTTGGTAGATTTCCGGGCTTCCAACTCCCTCCCCCGCTTGGCTGGTAATTTTCTGCTGCTCCTCCTCCTCCCCCACTTGACCTCCTCCAAGGTACCTTCGCCTCCCATCCCCCGCTCGTCCCCAGTAAACCTCCAGCGGGTGGGGAAAATCAACCCTTTGGCGCGAAAGCTAAATTCACAGCTGCCCGTTGGACAGGACTGCAGTGGCGGAAAGGCTGTCCAGCCTTTCAGACTGATCAACTAGATGGAGGTAACTCGTTCCGGGTTTCCCAAGATCTTGGGCGGACCCGTGGGTGTTTTGCTAGATTCAATGCAAATGTAGATTTCAGCTGAACCGCTCAGGACTTGGGAGATAGCTGTTTCACCTCTCCGGACTGCAACCACTTCCGCGAGAATCTGATACATTTAATGAGGCTTTGCCAAATGTACCGGTCAGCGCATCCTTGGGCCAGCACCACTTGGGTCAGCACACTGCACTCACTAGTACCAACCTGGGCTCCACATAGCAGAACTCGGGTTAAAAATAGTCTGTTCCTGGTCATTTAGGAGTTCTAGGGGGCAGGGAGAAGCAAGAAAAAGGTTTCACTTGACATTGCCAGCCGCTTTTGATAAGTCATAGTAAACACTTTCAGAAGCACAATTTTAAAGCGAGGATTGCAAATTTCTGTCCTCGCTTGGCCGAACTCCTCCCTGCAATCAGCTGCGGACCGTCGCACGTAGTTCAGGACTGAACTGAGGTTTGTGGCTTCGCAGCTGCCCGGCTGCTGGGAGCATGAAATTCTATCTCGGCTGAGAACCGAGCAACAGACCGCACAAGAACGGTGCCTTCTGGGCTTTCGTCTGCCAAGAAATACCAGAAACACTGTTGTCTGAAACAACTACCTGAACTAAGGAAGTAAGGCTAGGAAGCTCTGCGAGCAGAGAAAATTCTTGCTAATTCACCCAGACTGTTTAAGTAGTTAATAAAGCAATTGACACTCAACGACACCACAATCGCAGCAGGAGTCCTAGGCATCAGAATAAGAACCACAACTAAAGGTTTGTTGTTGTTGTTAACAACTGCCTTTCTGATGATTGCTTAATATTTTTTTTAAGTTAAAGAAGGAAAGAAAGAAAATCATTTCATACCCAGTGGTATCTCCTCTTTTTCTCTGAAATTAGAGCACAGATTCTCTTAATTGTTCCTCAGTAAGCCACCACCATCAACGGGAAGAGAGGCAAATTGGTTCTAAACACCCACACCCCCTTCCCGGTGGAATATAAACGTTTAATCGTAACTCCCTTTAAACGCACATAATTTTATCTGACCCTTGGACATGACTAAAGATACTGAGGGTTTGTATAGCCTTATTCTACATGTAGGCTACACAGAAAAGATAAAACCTAACAGGAGAAAGGGGATACATACACATCTACTCAATATCAATTTTCAGAGGTAAATAAAATGTTCCTGTTTCATTTGAGCCCTCAAATTATATGATTGTGGACATAACATAAATCCTTCAGTTATATATGTTTTTTCATCTGAATACCTTACTCAGTGAAACTGGCAGAGTGTAACTGTTATTCTACTCTTTCAAATCTGATTCTGATAGGAGCTAAACATACAGCATCATCTCCCTGGGAATAAATTCCCAAATCTGTATCTACATTGGAAAGTTGATCGAAGCTCCTCTTCCCTTCCCAGTCTTGGTTAGATGAGAAGGAATAAGCTGTCTTCCTGTTTGTGATTCCCCAAATAACCAACTTGAAATTCATTTATATCTGCCAGAGGTTTTTGGGAGATAAATAAATGCTATATGTTTAATTTTACCTTTCAATTGCAATTAAAACCTATTTAGATTTTTGAAATGTAGATTGAGAGCAAGATGTTTGTTCGGGAATCTCTTAACATTAAGTTTGATGTGGAATGCTTAAATTTCAATTAAAGCAGAGAAAACAACAGTACACAAAAAGACAGGTTTAAAGTCCACCAGGAAGTTGGGTATAACAGCCACGTTTTGGAAAGTGTATACAAGTGCACATGGGCAGATGCCACAGACTCCAGAGGAACTTAAATTTCAGTATCCCTTTTATATTGAAAGACACTGTCAGATATACTGAGGCACCCTGGAAGTGATGGGGACTATACTTGATAACTCATATTCCTCTTTTTCTCAGGACAGGAGCTCAAACCAGGGATTCACACTGTTGCTGTTTTCAAGGATATAGTTTTGACCTAACAATATACAAAGGTCAAAACGAGTCAATTTTTTAAAGAAGAGGGTCTGATCCCCCTCTGAACACAAGAGGTCGCTCCTGTGATCAAGTACTCAGGAAACATTGCTAATTGCAGTTTTACATATTCTCTAAAAAACAAAATTTTACAGATATATTTGATGTACTAAATTCACAGACAGCAATCAGCTCTGAGGAAATGAGAATAATCTGTGATCGATTTAGAACTTCCAGGTGAAGTAAAACTACAAAGCCTGCTATTCTAACTTGGATTTTAATGCAAAATGTGTCATTGGTACATGCATAGAACTTCAGAGCACGTCCATCCTGGTGGGGTCCCCAAAACATCTCTTAATGCGGATATCTTCTCCATGGATCTTGCTTCTATCAGTTTAGGAACTTGTTTACAACCACGGTGCAGAATGAAAAGAGGAAAATGTTGTCTACCATTAAGGTGAAATTGCCCATTACTAAAGGTTCCCCCCAAGCTACGTGCCAGCTTTTCTACTTGGAATTGCTATCATCTGCAGTAATTCTTTGTAATAGCTTATTGGTTTAGGGAGTTAAAATACCACACTTTGTGTGGGAGGTGGGGGCTGGTTTGAAGGAGGATGGATAGTGAGGGTGCTTTGTGGCTCTCAAATATAAGTCGTCAGGCTTCTGATAGCTTCTGGTGTTTAATTCTATCTTATAAACGTGGCATGATGGAATATGACTGGGTAAAACTGTATTTTCTGGCATTGTGGTGGTATCTTTTTTTACTACGGTCAACATGTTTATCTACATGGGAAACACGCCCAAATACTGGGAAGATTTGCTTCGTGTTGAGATCATCAGCATCAGCTTTGCAAAAGCAGCTTGACAAAAGGCTCCATACATATAATACCAGAGACTTTAGAAACAGATCAAAGAAAAAATAAGGAAAAGAAAAAGAAAAACCTACACAACCGGGAAACTTATCAACCTAGGTCTATCCTATCCAACTTTCACTTTCATACACGCGCTCCAAAATAATTTATAATGAAATGGAAGGGACGAGATCCAATTTGAAATCTTCCTTGAGAAAAAACCGAAACAAAACGGGTTCCTGGGGGGAAAAGCCTCAGCTAGGTCATGGGGAAACTCAGGCATCTTAGATTCCCTTTCCGCTTTGGAGAGGCTTTACCCGTTGTTCAAGCCCAGCCACTGCAGTCGGCCAGGGCTTACAGCTCTTATCAAGGGTTAGATCTTGGGAAAGATACAAAGAAAGGAGTTTCCTAATACACCAGATCTTCTCACAGCAACAAAACACCGAAATTAAGCCTTCTATGGTTTGTGTCTGTAGGCCTTTTTAGATAAAACTGGCAGTCCCATTAGATAAGAAATAGCTATTTAGAAGCTTTGGGGGAAGCGCAGCGGTTCTTCGTAGCCTTCCTGTGACTTTGTCTTTGGGAGACTGTCGGAGATGATGGGAACATGTAAGAATTATTGAAAAAGATTACCGGCTAGTTGCACCCAACAGTCTTCTCTCTCCAAGTAGTTTTCCGAGAGAAAATTATTAGATATCAACGCCTGGTGACGTGAAATAGGTTTTTCACTGTTCTGTAATAAATTCCTCCCTACTCGCGCCCTTACATAAATGCATTAAAAAAAAAAAAAATCTCCAGAGAGGCAGGGAGACTTGTCCTTGTAATTATCAAAACACCACAGCCTGTTGCACAAGTGTGCTTAAAAACAAAGGGCAGGAGACCAGCAATGAGAGGAATTGGAGAGTATATAAAAACCTAACAAACTTCAGACTACTGGAAGATCATTTCGCGCTTTGGCTTCTGGTTAGTGAGCTTCAATTCTAGAGTTAAACTGAAAAGAAGACCTCGCGGGTCTGAAAGCGAAAAAGCCCGTCAGTCCGCGCAGTCAACTTTGTTTTACCTGTACGTTCCAACCAGATTGTCCGCAACAGCAAGAAGTGCCCCTTTCCTCCCACCCCACGTTTTTAGATATCAGAGGTCGGGGGAGACCGAGTTATGGTGTAGCAGTCAGGGAACAATTCCTCTGAGTTTAATCATCCCATTCCCGATTCTTCTTTCCGTAGCGCACCGAGCGCAGCTAGTTCTAGAGGGAACTCACCCTCCCGAGCAGCCAAAGCGGGCCAGGCCCCGGGGATGTGCGCCCGGGCGTGAGACCAAACCAAGCTAAGCGGCCTATTCCAAGTTCCCCCCTTTTCCTAGAGCCCGGGAAGGACCTCGTCAACAGGTAGACCTACCCACCAGCCACTCGCCGCCGGCTGCAGAAAGTGGGCCCCGCGCGCAACGCGGCCAGCCGGACTGCGGGGACCCCAGGAGCGCAGGGCGGAGGAGCAGCGCGGCGGGAGGCGACGGCGCAAGCGGCGCAGCCGGGAAGGAACGCGGGAGGGGGCAGAAGGAAGAGGAGGAGGAGGAGAGGGAGGCCAGAGCCGGAACAGCCCGGCAGCCCGAGCATCGGGGGAGAACGGCCTGAGCCCGGAGTAAGTTGCCTCGGGATCCCTAATCCTCTCCCGCGGGCTCGCCGAGCGGTCAGTGGCGCACGGCTGTGGCGAGGCTGAAATATGATAATCAGAACAGCTGCGCCGCGCGTCCCGCAGCCAATGGGCGCGGCGCTCGCCTGACGTCCCCGCGCGTAGCGTCAGACCAATGGCGATGGAGCTGAGTTGGAGCAGAGAAGTTTGAGTAAGAGATAAGGAAGAGAGGTGCCCGAGCCGCGCCGAGTCCGCCGCCGCCGCAGCGCCTCCGCTCCGCCAACTCCGCCGGCTTAAATTGGACTCCCGGATCTGCGAGGGCGCGGCGCAGCCCGGCAGCGGCCCTTTCACCTTTGGCAACCCCAGGGGCCACTATTTCCCACTTAGCCACAGCTCCAGCATCCTCTCTGTGGGCTGTTGACCAACTGTACAACCACCATTTCACTGTGGACATTACTCCCTCTTACAGATATGGGAGACATGGGAGATCCACCAAAAAGTAAGAGGCTGTTTTACCTTGTGGGGCTCGGTGTGCTGTTCTTGTGCGGGGGTCCTCTCTCAGGCACTGGCTGAGGTGCCAAGGGCTCTTTAGAGTTGGAGTCATTGCCTGGAGAAAGAGAAAAGGTGGCTTTTTCTTGTTGCCGCCACGCCTGCATGCTTACTGTCGGTTCTGATCTTTGGGAAACTGATCGTACCTTGTGTTTGAATTCGCCTGTGTATCCTCTAAAACTCTAGCTTTCTGGTGCTGAGCAGTGGTGATTTCCTCGTGGGGAATCCTGAGCTCTCTGAGAAGGTTATATTATGTTGCAAAGGTCTGCCTGCACAGTCAATATCCAGAGATGTGAATTAGCATTAGACTTGCAAAAGAGAATGGGTGACAACTGTATTGATGTCTGCTCTTGCTAACAATATCCAGTCCTATGTGCTATTTAGGAGCGTGCTTCATGGAAAATATAGACATCCCTGCGTTCACTTAACGCTTCTAGTCAAAACCTTTTCTTTGACTTGACTTATCCACAATCTTTCCCAATGATTATAGCAAAGAGGAAGGAGGGGGAAAAAAGAAATACAAAATGAGCGGGCTTGATTGCGTGCTAGGCGTACAAATGCAGACTATTCAAATCTGCATTTTACATATATTCCACCTCCTTTTAAAAATGAGTCAAGGTTTTGATGGCACACTTCAATTACCATCCCAAAGTGCAATACTCTTAAAAAAAAAAAAAAAAAAAAAAAAGGAAAGAAAAAAAAAAGAAAGAAACCTCCCAGAGTACGCCCTATAAGAGAACGACACTAAAAGTGTGTTTATCTCTGTAGGAAGTAAACGGTTAGTCAATCATGTATTTATTTTCATTTCAGAAAAACGTCTGATTTCCCTATGTGTTGGTTGCGGCAATCAAATTCACGATCAGTATATTCTGAGGGTTTCTCCGGATTTGGAATGGCATGCGGCATGTTTGAAATGTGCGGAGTGTAATCAGTATTTGGACGAGAGCTGTACATGCTTTGTTAGGGATGGGAAAACCTACTGTAAAAGAGACTATATCAGGTATGGCATTTACACTTCTTCCTTAATTTTGTGAGATTTCCCTGACTCTCCCAACTCCTTATGTATTATTTGGTGTGGCTTTGTCTTTTTGTGAAGTTTGCCTCAGTGGAAGTCTAGCAAGCCAGAGTCACCCTGTAAGTGTGTTACAAAAATCAAGCTATGCTGTTCATTTCATTTTTTTTTTTTTTTTTAGTTGAGAGAAACAAAAACCCAGAGCAGTGGTATTCATAATTCTGGGGTATTGAGGCTTGTTTAATTACTCTTGGAATTTTTGAAGCACGAATTATTTTCCTCTCTCACCCTCCCCATTGCAAAACAAAATTTTAAAAAGATGGAAAAGTTTGGGTTTTTAACTTTACAATACGGTCGATTTTTATTGTATAGTGCAGTGTTCTGTTTATTTGTTTTAGTCCTTTTTAAAACTAGTAACTTACAAATTCTTGGGTGGCATCAATGTAGGTGAAATAAAAGTTTGACTAAAGCATGTTTAGAGATGTACTTTGAAAGAACAAGTACAGGTATTGCTCCTTTTATTTCTTGGGTAAAAACTCCTTCTGAGAAAATTTAAAAACCAACCTACATATTCCTTGCAAAAAACACCGGAAACTTAATCTTTTTTAATATTAACCCTTTGGTGACATCTAACTGTCTTTTCTTTCTTATCTTATCTGAGCTAATGAATTAGACACAGCAGATCAAATTGCCCATCATCTGTCTATGAACAATTGGTATATTTAGATAATTGAACAGCTTCCTTTCTCACATTAAAATCTGGTAACTGATAAAATGAGCGAATTGTCCATATTAACAAGACTAAAACCACATAGGAACTTTCTGAGTTTGGTTTTGTTTTGGAGGTTTTATTTTTTTTTTCCTCCAATTTATTCTGCATCAGGCTTTGCTAATCTGAAGTTTTCTCTGATTTATGTGTAAATATCAGAAATTTTGTTTTCTGCCTTAGAAAGCAAGTAGTCTCTAAAGAAAATTGTATTCATTTTATTAACTAACAGAAGAGATATCACCATCCTTATTATGTTAAATAACAGCAAAATGTCACCTTTAAAATGTCCAATGGCTATTGGCAAGTAGTTCATTAGCTTTTGTAAGGCCCTTGGTTTCTGGGGCCTGAGAACTTTTATTAAAGTTTAGTAAGGATTTAATATACAGTCACAGTTTGCTCCTGCTCACTTAGTATCCAGCATTTTTTCCCTGTTTTTAGAAAGTCATGACACAGAGGGTATAATCTTGGTAGATAAAATTAACCTGGTGGGGGGAGGTTAATACTTTGGGGAGGGAGTGAAAGGAAGTAAGGGAAGTGGGGGTACAGGAAGGGGGAGGGATTTTCTAAATTGTTTGGTCACCAGCAAAGTCAAGTCTTCACCCTATGAAATGGAAGATCTCACATTGAGTAGGCGGAGGGAGGAAAAACTTTTGAATCCACCTTCTAACCTCTGATAAATGAGCATTTTCATTGTTTACTAGCTTGGTTTGTAAATGCAAGGCTCTAGAGAAGGAGAGCCCGCTTCAGGAGTATATTTACTTCTATGGAAATAGTATTTTGCTCAATTGCACACAGGCTTGCATGTGCCTAATTCAGGACCTAATCATTTTTACTTTCTCTCCACTCTCTCTCTCAATTCTCTCTGTTTCTCTCTCTGCTTCTCTTTCTCTCTGTCTGTGTGTGTGTGTGTTGTGTGTGTGTGTGTGTGTGTGTGTGTGTAAAATCTTGTAGTTGTAAAAGCAGAACAGACTGAACAGTTAGATTTCCACATCTCTCCTTGGGGAAGCAGGATACATCCTCCCATTATGTGGATCTTTTCCTCTCTCTTGCATTATTTCTGTTTGTAGGAATGCCCTAGCTTCTGTTATTCCTGAAAGATGGAGAAGGAGCCAGGGCAGTGCAGCCTGGATGGAATCTGTAAAGATTGTTCCTTGGTAAGGAAAGGCCAGCAGTGAGAAAGACCTTAGAAGTGGGTCTTTGCATTTTTCAGGCTGGTCATGGTTTTCAAGCAAATTGAAATAGAGATAGATAATTCAGCAACTTGAAAAAGATTGAGGGAACAGACGCAGATTTTTTTTTTTAAATAATAATACAAGGAAGAATAGAGAGGAAATTTTCTGTTCACATTGCTGCCTGAAGAAAATCTTTAGTTGGAGAAAGACTGGAAAGTACTAGTGCAAAAGGGAGATGTAGAAACCCTCAGGGCTTTCCTTTTGTTATTCTGCTTGTTTATTTGTGAGTGTATGCAAATCGAGTGGGGTGACAATCCCATTCCCTTACCTCCATTTTTCTTGGAAGAAGGACTTTTTGTTGCAGTTTCACACATCTCTAGAAGCAGAAACTGGGGGATAGGGAAGTGAAAGCGTAGGTGTCGGTGGCCACCCGAGTCTTTCTGGATTCTTTCATGTTACAATCTGCAAGATAACACTGGGACTGATTGCTAGGGCAGCAGCCTGAGTTCGGAATCCATCAATACATTTTCTGTGGTACAAGCTAGGTGTTTTGAACTAAGAGTTACCAACTGAGGCACCGAGGTTCATCGGGAAGGAAACGGGAGTAAAAGAAAGGGAGGAGGGAGGACGGGCGGGGGGTGGGGGGGAAGAGATGGGGGAAGGCAAAGAGGCAGGGAGGAAGAGAGCTGGGTTTCATTTCTGTCCTGTTCCCAGCTTCTGTTTGGAAATGCTGTTTTCTCGGGGCGTCTTGCCCGGGATCTTGGGTCAGGGAAGTGATCGCCTGAAGTGACCCCCTCTTCCTGTGCTTCTCTCCCGCTCTGGGCCGCCTTCCCCGCCCCTCCCCCGCACAGGTTGTATGGGATCAAATGCGCCAAGTGCAGCATCGGCTTCAGCAAGAACGACTTCGTGATGCGTGCCCGCTCCAAGGTGTATCACATCGAGTGTTTCCGCTGTGTGGCCTGCAGCCGCCAGCTCATCCCTGGGGACGAATTTGCGCTTCGGGAGGATGGTCTCTTCTGCCGAGCCGACCACGATGTGGTGGAGAGGGCCAGTCTGGGGGCTGGCGACCCGCTCAGTCCCCTGCACCC